TCCATCATCCCAAAACCAAGCCTTTCGCTTCAACAACCAAACGTCAAACCATCCCAACATAACAAGCCAAGAGTTCCATTAACAACTACTACGACTCCTACTACTTTGATACTTTGCTACTCCACCGAGAGAGATTGGAAGCATGTTTTCGTCAGAATCAAGCAGACAGCACCCCTCCAGACGACGACGAAGAAGAGCCGCTGCGGCATTCAGCCAACATGTCCATGTACACCTGGCACTTGCTCACGTCCGTCCCAAAGTTGTTCAAGCACTGCAGTTCATCAATCAATAACACGAAGCAATGAGTTTTAGCATGAGGCGAGAGATTGATTCACCACAGCTATATTGCCAGCAAGAAATCACACGGATCACGAATCGATCCACATGATCATCAATAATTACTCACATCTTGCAGAGCCTTGGAGTGCAAGCCACAAGCATTGGCATCGGCAGTAGGAGCAGTCTGCTGCGGCGCGGCGGCAACGGTTTCCTGCCTCACGGTTCGAGGACCAAAGACAGCATCCACAGCCCTGTGAGCGATTGCAGTTCCAGCTCCCCAGCCCAGTCCTGTCATCACACAGGCAATTTCACAGTCAGGTTCTAGGCATATGATTATTATTATTATCCTGGCGAAATTGATTATTGTCGGAGATCAACTCACCATCAGCAATAGCACCTCCGATTCCTCCCAGCACAGATCCGGTGGAGCTGGACTTATGGACCGGATGAGAAGCAGCTACAGTAGGCATTCATTATCAGCCAAACAAAATATGCGATCGAGGAAACCAGCACAAGTGTGTAGCCAAATGACAAACAATCATAATACAGCACACTTCAAGCAAAATTCAACAATGCGACTACACATACGGTAAATCGTAAGGAAATCGCGAGGCCTTCTTCTCAAGAGCATGTTATGATCGTTCAACATTCACTAGCTTAGCTAACAGGTTTTTCCTAGCAAAGCTTAAGGACTAGGATATTCTCGGAAAAGAAACAATCGCAAGTTTGGTTCAGATAAAGCGAAATCCATGAACTAGAGGATAACCTTTCTTGGCAGGAGGTTTGCTGAACAAAGAACGGGATCCTGAAACACCAGAAAAGAGAAAACGGACATCAGATTAGCGCTAGAGATTGTACGGCCAGCTGCTACACTTCACCGAAACCCTAAGCAATCTACCAACGCGACTAGAGAAAAGGTAAGACATACAACAGATCTCGTCCATGTAAACAGAACGACGCAAAATCAGAGTGAAGTTCGACAATCGACCAAAATCACAAGCAATAATCGCACAGTTTCCATCGCGAGGAAGCGAAATTTTCATGAGCTTCCGTACACACATACACCAAGATCTAGCGAAAACGAAAACAGATCGACTCAGATTTTCTCTCCAGAGCGTACATACGAGTCGAAAACAGACCACATTGTAGCTAACACGCAAGAGTAACGCAAGGACAAGCAGGCCATGGAACGGAGAAGCTCAGAGGAAACCGGAAGTTCAACGAAGAAAATGCTTCGGGTAGAAGATTTACCTCCGCTGGAGCTACGGCTGCTGCTCTTGCGACCCATGGCGAGACGACCCGGTGAGAGAGCAAACGAAAGCAGAAGGCGATCGGCGGGAAAAAGGCAGTAAGCTTTCGGAAGCGAAGGGCGGCACAAGTCAATGAAGAAGGTGGAGGGCTAAACGGGAGATATTTATATTGACTGCTGTTTGAGTTAGGGGCATAAATGAGAAATCACGTAAATTTTCTTGAAGAATAAGCCAGCCAGCTGCGATTTTCCCTTTTTTCTCAAAAGCTAGCTCGACCAATTAGTTTATTGGTCCACGTGTCGTCAAGAACCGGAGAACCATTTTCACTTTTTCAGATTTATTTGTTCCTCTTCTCTTTTTAATTTCTCGGGAATAAGGATTACTATGGATGTGGGTTATGCATTTGCATTCAATTTGAATATTAATTGGAATGAGCTAATAGTATTTTATATTCTTTTACTGTTGAAAATTAATAAATATATTTTTTTATTTTTTTCCACAAACATACCCTTATATTATCTATACATAACCAACGTAACCTTCCGTTAACTACTCCATCCATTCCGTGACTCGCAAGTAACTAATTTGCCCCTTTCTTTTCACTTTTTAATTCACGAATTGGTCTCCATTAGACAATCTCGTAAATATTTTGTTGCTTTGAGAATTGCAGAGCGAATACCTTGCTTTCCAAGAGCTCTCAGCGGCATTAACGGATTCGGCGTCGACTTGGAATCCGGTGTTCCTTCGCCTCTACTGTGGAGAAAGCAGGACTAGCTAGCTATGGCTACCGAAAACAGCCAGAGGTTCAGTTCCCGCCTCTCAGTGAGAGCGACTTTCACAAGGTAGGCGGTATTTATGGACATTGAAAGTCTCATCTATGCAATAATAAAGTGACATAAAATGTTAACCCAATTGGAGTTGATCAAATATAAAGTTTGCTTGAAAAATGTGATACTAGGTATCACATGAATTATATTTTTTGTTATTCTAAATTTGCGGGTCCTACCAATTGGGAAAACACAGATGATATTTGGAAGAAGGAATCAAACTCTTCTTGATTTTTGTACAAACACAGAAACCATTATAGATTTCTGGACCAGGGTCCAAGGAAAGACAATCACATCAAATAAGGTAAAAGGATAGGCCCAAAACACGTAGGTACCAACCAGGAAAATAGGGAAACTGAAATCCCAGCAGAGACGAGCCATAGGCGGAGACAAAACAACATCCTCAATAAGGAGACGACCACCGAAGGACTTGGCAAACCCCATAATCAAAGCATGCTACGATGTTTGAGTGATGAGTCTTCATCTTCGAAACCAAGAACCGCATCCGAGGTTATTCACAAAGGAAGACTACTGCATCTCCGGATCATAGCGGTCTGTTGGATGAAACAATGAGGTAGATGAAAAATCCAAGGAAAGAAGATGAGTTGGAGAGAAATCAACAACCCCCTATGCAACTGGACAAAAAACTCCAAGCATCCAAGATCTGGAAATCAGAACAAAACTTGAAGGAGAAGAGAACCATCTCAATAGACAGAACATGGAAAAGACCCACAAGGGGACATGGAAGACCCACAAAAGGGAATGGAAACATAAAAGTAAACCACCGAAACTAAAAAATTAGCATTTAAAACGAAAGACGAATGGAGGAACGCCGCCGACAATACAAAAAAAAATGTATTGTTTTGTTTTGTGTAAAACAATGCATGTATTATTTTGGGAAAAAAATATTTCATATATGCCTATACCAAGGATCGAAGTCCACACCTTGCAGTGGTTATGGGATAAGAAAATTTTGTCACTACACAACAACTCATTTTGATTCTTATATTAACTTAAAATTTAATCTATTACCTTGTAAACAAAACCCCCATTTGGAATAAAATCATAATCAATCAAGTTTATATGTGTCAGTTTATTTGCTAATAAAACTAGTTTTTATTCTATCTGTTGCAATTGCAAGTGTAGAAAGAATATTGTAGTTTTGTGTTATATTAAGAACAAACTACAAAGTCAAATTAACAACCATTTTGCTAATAATTGTTTAGTGAGATACGTTGAAAGATACTACTTAAAAGTGTAGACAACAAATATAATTTGTGTTTCTTTCATAATATGAAAACACGTCGTGATTGTTTATGAAAATAATAATTATGTAGTTGGTTATTTCTGTAATATCTATGAATGAATTATTTTGGTATTATTAGTTTTAATTATATTTATTAAATAATTAATTATTTATATATTTATATTCTGAAAGAGGACACAAATAACTTCATATCCTAGCTCAGCCACTACAATGAATGCATATCATAAACTAAGGAATGTGGTCCAAGACAAGGTGAGAAACCCTAGTATTTGGGCCATCGATTTTAATGGGGCTAGATCTAAGTGATGAGATTAAAAGACGTTTTATTTTTCAACTTTTTTAATTGCTTTTATCTTCTTTGTTTTACCTTGGATTTCAAAAATTTATGCGCAGATAGAATGAGTTCATTGTGATCTACAAAATGATATCCATTTTCAATATATTTTGTGTGAAAAAATTGCGTACCACTCATACTACTCGTTACCACTCTGCTATAACCTTCACTTTAACACCAATTTTACAAATTTGTGTCCGGATGGAACGAGTTCATGCCTTCATGGTTCTCTATTGAATCTACAATTTTCTAGAAGAAATCATTCCAAGACAAAAAATACGGTCATGAAAAGTGGTAAATGATCAATAGTATATTCCTATATCATATATACATCCATTCTACACTCTGACATATTCATACCACCATGATACAATTCAATACCACATGACATAGTCTTATCCTTATGTACTACAAAGCATTACCACATTTATGAACTGGTAAGAAATGTCTATTTTTTTTTGTTCCAAAACATTTATGAACTGGATGTTATTTTGAAGAGCACAATTAATCTTATTTGTGAGAAATAGTTCGCTAAAATTCATTAGGGAAAAAGTTAGAGGTCTTCCATAAATAGTGAGTGTATGATTATGCATGGTTAGACCACTTTCATCTCTCACATTCAGCAATTGCTAAGGTAATGTGACATTTTGGTTACCAATTGCAAGGCATGCAAAAGGACTTTTTAATTTAGCAAGATTTCTAAATGAGAAATTTCACTAGTATTGCCACCGAGGATATTTTTCTTTTTTCAATTACTTTTCTAGAAACTCCAATATAATGTATTAAGAAATTGTATGGTTTCCACCATTGGCAATTGTTTATTAATTTTGGAGATGTAGTGGTGGTTTGAAAATTGTGATGGTTATATATATTGTTGTGAATACATGTATAATATTATACTGTATTGTCGAATTCGATGCATTGTAAAATACAAAGTTTGATATATGTGATTGTGTTTGTCACATCAGTTAAAGTTGAGATAAAGCAATCTCAACTAAACTATCCCTAATTAAAAGTTGAGATATAACAATAACACATTTTGAGTGATAATTTCTGTCACGGATAGAAACAATCAATGTATTGTATCTGCTAAAAAATAAAAAAACGATGCATTATAAACAATATAGTAACAATCTCGCAAAAAGATCACAACTTCCAAATGACCTTGTAGAGGTTTTGAAAATTGTTGCCTTCGTGTCAGCGATGGCCTTTCATCTGTGTTCTTCACCTTGTAATTCAACCACTGAATCAAAATTCAGCTTCTCAAAACTGAGTTTGGTTTGGCAATCTTAAATATCAGCCAGCTGAAAGCTTGTTTGCAGCTTTGCCTCCTTCGCAAGGCAGCACAAGATGGATACTCTGCCACCCCAGCGAAGAATACTTCTCCCTCCATCCTCTTATTCCTTAATTATAGGACACGTACAAGGCAGCCAGCCCCTTTCCTCAATAAACAGCAGCCATCGTTTGTTTCAGAATTACCGCTGCTGGGTTCACTAGTTGATGAAGAGATGGGTCAATCTATGATGAAATTGGCTCCTGGTATTGCTCTTTCTTTCTTTCCAACAACCTCCTTTTTTTTTTAGGTCTTCTCTTCCCCTTTTATATGCTTAGAACTCCCAGGCAAATGCACCGCGGCATTGCAGAGCAGTAAGCATCAAGAAAACATCATGACTGAGATGATGATCGCCGAAAGCTGTGGCTTGAAAACCCTCTGCTTCCCTGTTTCTCTTTCTGGAGAAAAGCCTTAGAATGTTGTTTCCATTCTGTTCCTACAAACCACAATGGTTCATTCCTTCTGTGTTTATAGAACCACACATAAATAACAAGCCTCAGCCTGTGCTTTTCATATAGTGCGAGGAGATCTATCGACACAATTTAAGTTACAACATGTCCAGAATGGGGAAAATCTGAACTGATTTGCACCATCCCTATTTATGGCCTCCCTCTACTTTCTTCACTAATTCTGTAACTACTATAGCCAAACCTACTACTTGTGATTGCAGGAAGTGAGCATAACAAGGACAAAGATATAGCTGCTGCCATTGAAGAATGCTACGACAAGTATTTCACAGACACTAACCAGGAACTGGGCTCGGCTGACTTCTACGCCGCTGTCTGCAAAACTGTCGAGTAATCTTCTTTCATCCCGACTCCCCTCTTTCGTCTTTCTAGGTCCCTTTCCACTCCCCTACTCTATCATAAGCTTCTGCTCTCTTTTCCAACAGGGAGATCAACAAGAAGCTCAATAGCACACAGTTCCGAGTCCCCGACAAAGAGAAGCTCAAACAAGTCTACAATGTTGAATTATTCTCTATCCTTGTTTCTTCTTTCACCTTCTTCTTTTCCATTCGTAGATAATAACCCTGCATCACAAAAACTTTGCAGGCTCACTACAAAGATGACAGCAAGAACAAAAAGAAGAAGGCATTGTCAAGGGAGGAGTTCCAAAAGGTGCTGGAAGAGATCATCATTGGAGCAGGCTTCACGGGGTTTGGATCGAAGAACATCTTCCTCTACATATTCGGAGTCCCCGCAGCTGCCCTGTTCATCAAACAAAGGATAGCTCCAACAGCCGTCCCCAACGATGTATTTATACCGGGGATCACCTCAGCCACCGTCTTCCTCCTTGCCAAACTCAACAAAATATGATACACCATACCTCCTCCGTTTTCTATTGTACATTCACCATGGTTTGACTGTATCATCATGAACTCAATTCATAAATGGACTGCGAATGAAATTGAATACTGACTAACCTCAAATAGAAGGGAACTTGGGAGGGAAATTTCTAGATGATGTAATCCGACCAGCCCGAGATGAATGATGTATGATCCATGGATTCCCCCGGGCATTCCTCGTGCTTGGACGGCGTCTCCTTCCCTCCGACCAGCCTCGCTGGGTTCCCAACGGCGGTGGTCCGCGGCGGCACGTCGATCAGAACCACGGACCCTGCCCCGACCTTCGCTCCTTCTCCAATGCTGACATTCCCTAGGATCGTCGCCCCGGCGCCTATCAGGACTCCGTCGCCGATCTTCGGGTGACGGTCGCCGGAAGCTTTCCCCGTTCCCCCGAGGGTAACGTGATGCAGGATCGACACGTTGTTACCGATCACCGCCGTCTCGCCGACGACCACGCCGGTGGCGTGATCGAACAGAACCCCCTTCCCGATCCTCGCCGCCGGGTGAATGTCGACGGCGAAAACGTCGGACACTCGGGATTGAAGCGCCAGAGCTAGCGGCCGCCGGGATTGCATCCACAGCTTGTGAGCCACACGATGCGCCTGCGAAAGAAACCAAAGGGGGGAAAAATTTAGGGATTTCATTTGTACGAATCGGCCGGCAATCGAAACAATTACCTGGCAAGCGAGGAAACCCTTGTAATTGAGGAGGCAGTGGGAGAAGGAGACGCAGGCGGGATCGCGGACGCGGGCGGCGCGGAGGTCGGCGACGGCGGCGGCGCAGAGGGAAGCGTCGGAGGAGAAGGTGTTGAGGAAGAGGTCGTAGAGGAGGGTGGAGAGGAGGGTGGAAGAGCAGAGCTTGTTGCCCAAGTGGAAGGCGAGGGATCGCTTGAGGGAAGAGTGGGAGAGGATTGTGGAGTAGAGGTAGCTAGCTAGAGCTGGCTCGGCTTCCGCATCCCGCCGGGCCTCGGCTTTGATCTGTGCCCATAGGCAGTCCTCGTCGTCGGAGGTTGCGGCGGCGGCGGCGGCGGTGGGGGTAGGCGGACCAGTGGGAGGCGGCGGCGGCGCGGAGAGGTGGGAGGGAGGGCGTAGCTCGCCTGTCGGCATGGCGGTGGTCGTGGTGTCAGGGCTTTCTGATCGGGGATTCGAGGAAGTGGAGATTCTTGTTGGTTAAGAGGATAGCGGGTTTTTGTGGCGAGATGTGTTTTCTGCAAAAAGTATCGAGGATATCTAGGATTTTGCTCCATATGTTTATTCCGGGGTCGCCACGTAGCTGTATTAATATTATATTTTAGTTATGGACTTTTGAGCACCGAAATACAAGTCCTTTTACGGGATGGGATTAGGTGCTAACCCTTATAGGGGTAGCATCGTGATAACTAGCAAAAAATGCTATTAAAAACAACGAAATCACTATGGATTATTATAAAATCAATACAACATCGTAATAATTAGCACCGTAACCAGTCCCGTCCTTTTATTGTATGTTTAGGGTGGCAACGGGAAACTGGTAACTGGTTTTACTCAAAATCTGTCCTTTTTAGGGTTTTAGGTACCCAAATGATTGTAATATTTATAATGAGATGAAATTTGGATTAGGAATTTCAACATTGGGTATTCGAGGGTTACCCGCTAACACTCGTTTGGATATTATGGGTAGGGCTGGAAATGAGCCGAGCCGAGTCGAGTTTTACCCCAGGTTGAGCTCGGCTCGTTAATAAACGAATCGAGCTCCAGCTCAGCTCGTTTATTAACGAGCCGAGTCGAGTCGAGCTCGAGCTAGCTTGTTTACTAAAATCTTGACTATTATTTGGTATTTCATTTTGTATATCATGATACATATGATTTATTTTGTTAGCTAATATCATATTATACTTTGTTGGTATCATATATCATTTAGTTAATAAATTTTAACTACTCCAAATCATGTTATTTCATAGTAACAAAGCAATCTATGATACATAATTTTTTATTAAGTAGAAAATAAGATATATTTGCTCACATACTCAACTTTTTAAACTTTATATATGGTGAGATAAATAATTTAACAACCATATGAATTAAAAACATAAGATATAGATTGATTCGTCCATAAGTCAATAATCGAGTTGGCTCTCTAGCCACATGTTGAGATATATCATGAGCTCTAAATAAACGAGCCAGCTCACGAGTTTAGCTCAACAAGCCACCGAGTCAAGCTAGCTCGCGAGCTTCACGAGCTGGAAAAAGCTTAGCTCATGTTCGACTCGTTTATTAACGAGCCGAGTTTCGAACGAGCTTTTCTCGAGTCGAGCGCCGAGCCGCTCGCGAGCAGCTCGACTCATTTGCAGCCCTAATTATGGGTACCTGTAATATCCATTACGATTTAGGAGATTAAATTCATCATCAAGAGATCAGTTTCATGTCATGTTACAATCATTGTTAATACGAAAAAGCATCCACTTAAATTAACATCCATTAATCCATAAGAAAAATGAAAATACGATACTATCCAAATCATATATGTTCAACTTTGACACATCAAGACAATAAATAACATTGTCTTGTTAACAAGGCGAAAACCTCTAAGAGATTAAAATCTACTATACTACTACTTATTGAAACACTTAAAGTTACTCTAATCTATTTAGTTGCCTCTACCAAAAATATGTTGTCACATATTATCCCTTCATCATTTCTCCATATCTCCAAACACAAAAAGCCAAACATCAATAATTAGATATAAGAAAAAAGTAATTGAAAACAAAGCACTAAGAGAGAGAGTCATCATGTCGTCATACTTTAAAACAACTCCAAGTCAAATTTAGACATCATTCTTCATCATTAAATGCTACACCTCCTGAAAAGCCACGACTCTTTCATTAGTTGGAAGAGTCATCATTGCTCAATTTGTTCTTAATGTCATTCCTACGTATGCTATGCAAACAACCCCCATTCATGTTTCTGTTTGTGATGAGATTGATAGGATAATTAGGGGATTTGTTTGGTGCTTTATGGATGGAAAACGGAAACCCCATATGGTGTCTTGGGAGAGAATTTGTCTGCCTAAGAAACTGGGAGGTCTTGGTCTTAGATCAGTTCGTTGTTTGAATAAAGCTTACATGTCAAAGTTTACTTGGCAAATGCTAAACAACGACACTAATCTATGGGTCCAGGTTTTACAGGCAAGTACTATAAGTAGAGGAATGGTGACATCATTTCTATGAAGAAAAACCAATCACTCTAGCCTCTGGAGAGCCGTGGCGAAAGCTATGCCTCTGATGAAGGAGGCCTCCTGCTGGAGCATCAGGAATGATGAATCGACCAGCTTTTGGAGGCACCCTTGGATCGAGAATGGATTGGTTCTTGAAGACTTCCCGACCGAAGAAATTACCGAAGAGGAGAAAGAGACTCATGTGGCCTACTGGGTTACAGAAGGGGGTGAGTGGAACTGGGATGAACTGAAAGAACTCCTCCCTGAGGATAAACTTTTGCTTGTTGCAGGAATGGAGAGACCAAGTGTTGATCTGGGGGAGGACAAAATGATCTGGGGTCTGGAGCGAGATGGAAGATTTTGACTTAAGTCAGATTATTATCTTGCTGCCAATATGGAGGAAGATGAAGAAGAAGAAGAAGAAGAAGAAGAAGAAGAAGGAACCTGGAAAGCAATATGGAGGTGGAAAGAACCAAGCAGGATTAAGCACTTTATGTGGCTTGTCCTCCACGGGACCACGACAGACTCTTCACCAATATGAAACGAGCAAGAAGGAACATCTCAACCAACAACAACTGCAACCATTGTAGAGACTGTGAGGAATCAATTGAGCACATCCTGCGAACCTGTGACAAGACAAAAAGGATATGGGACCGGTGGCGGCGCGGAGAGATGGGAGGGAGGGCGTAGCTCGCCTGTCGGCATGGCGGTGTTCGTGGTGTCAGGGCTTTCTGATCGGGGATTCGAGGAAGTGGAGATTCTTGTTGGTTGAGAGGATAGCGGGTTTTTGTGGCGAGATGTGTTTTCTGCAAAAAAGTATCTGAGGATATCTAGGATTTTGCTCCATATGTTTATTTCGGGGTCGCCACGTAGCTGTATTAATATTATCTTTTAGTTATGGACTTTTGAGCACCTAAATACAAGTCCTTTTCTTGTATGTTTAGGGTGGCAACGGGAAACTGGTTACTGGTTTTACTCAAAATCTGGGAAAGTTGCTGTAGGAGGACTGCTGAGAAACCACCTGGGAAGATGTATTTACGCCTTCACTAGCAACCTTGGTTGTTGCTCCATCACAAGTGCATAACTTAAGGGGGCAATTGAAGGTCTTCGGATTGCGTGAGAGAGTTTTTCGAGTTTTCATTTTCTGTGCCTACGAAAAAATGTCTCTCTCCTCTCTCTCTCTAACGGTAAAATCCTCTGAACCAAAAAACGGTTCTTTTTCCGTCCCCTTTGCTGGGACTGTTCCAGCTCTTGCAGAGACCTTCCTGGTGAGTAATTCACCCACCAATCTCCTCTCCCTTACACCTGCGTACCATAAAGATGACAGCAGAAGCACATATCAAAGAGCAGGGAAGAGTCCCACACTGATTAGACAAAAAGAAGAAGCTAGCAGAGATGGTTTAGAGAAGAGGGAGGAGTGGAAACCTCCAGACGACGGCAATAAAGGTTCTACCAGCCACCGCAGAGGAAGGAGAAGTGTAGGGAGAAGGGCAACATCAACTACCAAATCTCAGTACTTTGACTACACCATCCACCTCGAGCAAAATGGGGGCAACATTGAGCCAAGAGCCACGGGGCTGGCAGAGGAAAAACAGGGGAAAGATTTGCCTAGTCTCCAGAAGAATAATGAAGGGTTTGATAAGAAAGAAACCTACCTCATTCAAGAAGAAAGAGAGACGACCAGCAGGAGCAGAGGCTTTAAAGGGAGGAAGGGAAGGGGAAGTATAGACTGTGCTCAAATACTCATCCCCCAATCCACTGTTACCCATCTCTGCTTCGAACTGCTACCAAAATCACACCCTGCTTCTCAAACCAAAAAACTCCATACACCCTGGTTCTTGCTGCTACCGAAAACCCACCTTGTCTCCCTAAACAAAGAACTTCATACACCCTGTTTCTTGCTGCTACCGAAACCACAACCCGTTTCTCTAACCGAAAAACTTCAGTCATCAATGGAATCCATCAACAACGAAGCCACCAACAGCCAGAGGAGAGGAAGCATGATCCCTGCACCATCGAGGGGCAGAGGCGGGCGCCTTGTGCTGTCCTCGACTGGTGGACGAGGGATGTCCATGTTGCTGGGGAAGATGCTCACAGAAAGCAGGGTAGCGATGGCAAAGGCAGCAGGAGCAGCTCGATACGCGTGGGGTAGCTATGGAGAGGTCAACATCCAACCGACCGAAACCCAAAACCTATTCCTGTTTACTTTCAACAGTGAGGAGATCAGGGATAGGATTTGGAGGGACAGGCCATGGAGTTTGTCCAACACTTTGACGGCGATTGAGAGATACAATGGAAGGGGAAGGCCTGAAGACGTCCCGATAGAGAAGATGGCTATGTGGGTGCAGATATATGGTATGCACCAAAACCAAAGGAGCGAGGAGAACATGATGGCTATCGGGTCAAGCTATTTCCTGGAGCTGCTGGATCTTGACAGAGCGAGCCTGGAGTACACTGGCTACAGGAGATTT